GGTCTTTTAGGACAAATTTCCTTGCCAGCTCATCCTGCATGGCCTTCATCTCCTGCTCCATCTGAGCAGCCACACAGAGGTAATCTACATAGATGACTAAAGTGACCCCTCCTCTCCTACACACACAAGCATCTGCCACACTCCGTGTATATCCAAGCCCTACCAGTTCCTCGTGGATGCACCTATTCCAGCAGCGTGCACTCTGCTTTAGGCCATAGAGGGCTTTCTTGAGTCTGTAGACCCTGCCCTCATTGCCATCATCAAACCCAGGTGCCTATTCCATATACACCTCCTCCTCAAGCTTGGCATTGAGGTAGGCGGTCCCAAAATCAAAGTGCCTCACTATCTGCCCTTTCCTGGCAGCCACTGCAAGCACTAATCTGAGACTTTCTGGCTTGGCTGTGGGAGAGAATTTCCTGCCATAACTCTCAAATTTCTGTTGTGAGAAACCTCTTGCTACTAGCCTGGCCTTGTATTTCTGGGTCCCATCAGGCATTTCCTTCCTTTTGTAGACCCACCTGCAACCTACAACCTTCTGGTTTCCTGGCCTGGCTACCTCCTCAAAAACCTCCCTCTTCATTAGTGAATCAAACTCACTCTTCATGGCATGGAACCACTTCTCTTGTTCCTCTCTGGGAAAAGTGAGAAGCTCCTGGAAACTCTCAGGTTCCTCTGCCACTGCTGCACACACCCTAGTGTTCTGTACTACAAAACACTCTGGAGGTCTTCTCACCCTTTGTATCCATCTGGGGATGATCACTCTTGCCTTACCCCTCTCATCCTCACTGTCAGTGCTGCTCTCTACACCCCTGTCTGTGGCTGTGGGTGTTGATGCCTCACTCTTGGGTGTTGTGACAGAGGCAGCTTGGGTGCCTGTGGGCTGGCTGGAAGTACTGGGCTGACTCTCTGTGGTGTCTTTTGGTGTTTCCACCCCTCCATTCCCAGTACTGCCACCACCCTGCTGTCCCAGTCTGATGAAGACTTCCTGATTTGAGTGGATTCTCTCCCACCCCGAGTGCCTTTCAAAGTTCGCACTCCTAGACAACATGATGTGTCCACCTCCCAGATGGAAACTATAGCTGTTCCCCTCATACCCCACAAACATCATTCTTTTCCATTTGGGGTCACCCTTCTTCTGGAATCTCTGGGGAACCAACACATTGGCAAATTGCCTAAATACCCTCAGGTATTTCAGATTGGATGGCCTCCCATACAACATGTAGTATGGGGTTTGCTGCACCTCAGAATGCCACAGTCGGTTGCTTATGTGGCAGGCCGCCAAAACTGCCTCCCCCCCAAAGGCCTTCTGGAGCTTCAGCATCCAACAGCATATAGTCTATGACAGGGGTAGGCAACCTTTCCCCTTTAAGGGCTGAGGGACTTCAGCTCCCAGAATCCCAGGAGCTACTGGCCAACATGTGACTATTCGCCAACATGGCTGAGGCTTCTGGGAGCTGAAGTCCCTCGGCCCTTAAAGGGGAAAGGTTGCCTACCCCTGGTCTATGAGTTGGGTCAGCACACCCATCTTCCTCTCAACCAGTCCATCCTCCTGGGGCATTGTAGGGTTGGTGGTGTTGTGGCAGATGCCCCTCTGCTTCAACCAGGTCTGTAGGCTGGAAGAAAGCAAGTCACCACCCCGGTCTGTAACAAGGGAGCCCACCTTGAAATCAAATTCACTTTCAACTCTCTCCACCCAGGCCTTGAATGTGGGAGCTGCCTGATTT